CTCAATACATCTATGGAGTAATGTATATTTTTGATACCCAACTAAAACAATGACCAGTGACACATTGGCAGCCACAAATAAAGGCATGCATAAATAACATCAGCCATATATGTGTGCTTTCTGAAACTGATAAGCAATCTCTGCAGTCCAACCCAAAGACTTGATTACCCTTTTGTGAAGCAATAAACAATGTCATTTGTGCCATCTCTGATAATATAAATTCACCTACAACAAGGGAAAGAGGAACCAAATCTCATGCAACACTGGTACATGGGATGTGCCATCATAGCTGGCATCAACCAAAGTCTGAAAGAACTTAATGTGCAGTTTAATGAGTGGACAAAGTAGATAGATGAGATAGGAATGCAAAGTACAAAAAAGACGGGATGACAGTTCAAGAAAGTATGTATGGGATATGGATTACAAGTAGAGCAGGATGACACTAGGACAAGCAATGGATTTTGAAAAGAAAAAAAAACTGATCAGAGAAGAAGGTGGCATGTAGAGGGCAGTGTGTGGAGGAGAGGACAGTGCAATGCCTCCGAGTGATGGAGAGTACAAGACATGGGTGAATCAGATACCGAGATAGAAATGCATTGTTGTAGGGAGTGATGACAACCGACCAATGGAAAGCAGGATCTTGACCACAAAACAAAAATGACACTACTTCAATTCGACAGAATCCTAATCATATTCAAACATTTAGGGAGTCAATTTTAAATAGATCACACAGGGTTTGATTCACTTGCACCCCTAAGATGAACCTTATCAAGGTCCATTCATGTTTCCAAGATGGCAGGCTAGGCAGCTCAATGGTGGACCAAACTAGAGAAAGAGCATCAGAACTCAATAAGATCAGAGTGGTTTTCTCTGCATAACAAGCCATGTTTCAGATTAAAGGTATCCAGTACAAACTACAAAGATAAAGATGCAGTGGAGGATGGCAGTCAAACAGTAGTATAGATGGGGTCATGGATGCAGAGTGAGTTTCTGTGAGATTCAAAATCACGACCACACCACCGCCTTAACCCGAAGTCACACCTAGAGTATCAATTAATTATTTAAAACTAGAAAAACCATGCAAAAAAGCACAGTAGCAAGGTCTTATCTTGAATGCCCTCCCTGTTGCCATCTCTAAAAGGGTAAATAATGATATAAATTTGCAAGACTGTCATCATCATAGGTTAATACACTTGCATGCAACAAAAAAGTGGAATTTCTGTGAGATTGTGTTTATTAAATTCTTAGTTACCATTTTCTTGAGGGAAAATCTGATGCAGATACAGCTTCTATTGTACAACCAGTAAGTTCAATTTCCGTGGAAGAAGAATCTGATTCTACTAAAAAGAGAGAATGGTTCTTTAAATTTGCATATTTCTTTATAGGTGTGACCTCCAAGATATCCTTCTTCGCCTTTTGCTGTCTCGGAGCTTTGTCAATAGGAGAAGTTCTTGGAATGCTGTCTGCATCTAGAACCCACACAAAGCCCTAAAACAGTATAGAAAAATATAGGCAACCATCAACATAAGAAAAAAGCTACTTGAATGAACATATTTGAAAATTCAAGTTTTTTTGTTGATGCTAGCAGTTTGATGTTTTCTGTGTAATCATCTACAATATTAAATATTTGGAATGCTTATGCAAATGAGATAACAGTTACAAGCAGTCTCTCCTTATAGGTTTCATTCCACCTAGAAATAGCCAATTCCCTGAGTCTCTTCTTTGGTTACTTTTGAAGATACTGTAATTAGTTGTGACCCCACACGTGTGATATCAATGATAGTGTGATTGTATAGAGATGCTTTGGAATTAAATCAATTATAGCTGTACCAATTCCTATATCAATGTGACCTGAAGATGAACATTTTAGCAAAACATGTATGTTTACATCATGATACAAGCTAAGATGCTTAGCTATTAGAAAATGAGACCAATTAAGCATTAAAGAATAAAATGAAAGTCGAGATGTTATCGAAATTAAAAAAAATTGAAAGGCATGCACCAAGAACCACTGTCCACTTATACAGCATACTATATATTCAATGTTATGTAACAACCCCCATACGAAAACAGATAAAATGCTGTTTTATATGGAGTATTATAAGAAATGATTCTAAATAAGACCATATAAGCTTTTCCCTAGATAAGACTATTGATTCCATTTTACCCGTGAACTATTAAATGCATTCTGTATAACTAAGTTCTTCATCCAACAACTCACCATCCCAGCTCTTGGACAAGATTTTGTAACAAGTGACACGTATTGAAGAACGTGAAAGTAAAAAAGGAGGAAAATGATGGAAGGACAAAAGTGTTATCGTACACCAGTTGGCAGCGGCATGTGGCATGTGTGGGGGCAAAACGAAGCCGAGAGGTGTTGTTGGAATTTTTTTAGAGAGAGGATGATGCAGGTTGTGTGGCACAATGTAAGAAGGTCTTTGGCCATTTATTTTTCCAGCTACAAGACATGACAAGGAGATGGGTCTGGTGGTGGCTAGTGTTTGATTTTGAAATTGAATGTCATAGCCAAAGAAGGCACACATTGGATAAAGTGGATTATTTCTGACAGAAATCTACTCTTCAGGACAAAAAAGATTGTTCAACGTATAAATGAATTGGCTAGCCATATTATGTAGAAAATTAAGACATTAGAAGAGTGGCGGGTGGCGGTAATAGGCTGCCACATGCTAGATATCATAATCACAATAAAAAAACTAGTATTGCACTCTGTATTACATAACATATTTGCATTGATAATTGATTACAATAAATCATTCAAGCACCCATTATATAGGTCTATAAGAGAGCTAAGGAAGATGCGAGGGTTTTTAAAGTGAGTCGGAAGGTGGTATGAGAGTGTTGCGACAAATATTGATCTATCTGTGGCTCTGGGAAATCGTGGAAATCCCGTTTTCCCCTAATGATAACGTGGAAGAAAATGCTAGGATTGTTAGCACCATTGCGCCAAACATCCAACATGGTGACAACAAAGACGCTCGTCAGAGATGCCACCACTACCACGGCAAGGTTTGATCCACCCATCGTGTGTGACTATCCTCTATGCATTGATCTGTCTTCTAGCTCTAGAGATGGAAAATTTTTGTTAGAACAAATTATTTGGTTTTCTTGAAGTGTGCTCCAGCGATGTAATAAACTTTGATTTGCCTTAAGTACATCGATCTATGATCTCACTCTACTGATGCAACACTTTTTTTGTTGAAAATGAATTGTTTGGTTTGGTAGAAGTGTGCTCCTACGACCTATTTGGATTTATTTGGTTTTGCTAAAGAGTAGTATTTGTATTTCTTAAAGGAAGTACTTGGACACAATTTGGTTTTAATATGAAATAATTTGATTTGTTGGAGCTAAAAGAGTAATTATTTAGCTTCACATGCAATAATGCATCATGGCCTCAAGGGCATAACAAAAATAGTCTAACAAAGCCTACAAAGGTATGGTTGAGTACATCTTAACCCTCACCCCCCCCCCCCACCAAAAAACAAGTTCCAACAAAGTTGGGATTACATTGGGTTTTGTAATTGCCCTGAGGACCTAAGGTGGTGCAATGCGTAGTAAGCAGGTGGAAGTGAAAAATATTATTTTACTGCCATATGCTTGGGACTTGGGTGGTAGAGTAAGTTGGCAAATTACATCATGATTGGTGTCTCCACAACATTGACATGGTTTTAGTCATCTTTGCATGTTCCTTCATCCTTATGTTTTAAAATTGTTATCGTTTTGGTTGTGTTGAACTGACATGATATATATGCCTAAACAATAACATGATTCTTGTGTTTTATCATTGTCATGAGTAAGTGTTCTAACATAGTCGTGATTCTTGTATCCAATGTTAGCATCTTTTGAGTTTGACCACTCTGGTTCTTCTTATGTTGTAACACTGATAGTTTTGGTTGTTTAGCAACGTCATGATATTCTGTTCTAGGGCCAACACGATTCGTGTCATGTAACATTGTCATTATTATACTATTCTAACAATGGCATGATGCTTTGTGTTCTAGCACTAACATCATTTGTGCAGTACAGCACTACTATGAGTATGGATTCCAAAGGGCTCATAGTTGTGTCAAAGAATAAGGTGGATCTTATAAAGCTTACATGTTTTTTTAGTTCTATGACTTCTATCATTATCATGATTCTTGTGTTGTAAAAATGTAATTATTCTAGTGTTTTGGCAATGGCATGCTTCTTTGTATTCTAACACTTGCATCATTTGTGTATTCTAATAATTCCATGATTGTGTTTTCCAAACCTCCAACATTTTTGTGTCACAAGTCATAACGCTATCACAACGTTGAATTTATTTCATTTTCAAATAGTGAGGGTTTTTGTAACTACTCCATTTTTTTAACTATTATAGGGTGGCAATGTCAATAAGGCAGAATAAGGCAATGGCAATGCTCGGCAGACAAAATAAGGCACTTGGGATGGAATTCAATGGTGGTGGCATAACTATAGTGGTGTGACCACAATCCGGTGGTGGTGGGCGAAATCCTTTGACTGCATGCTGAAGTCTTTACATTGGTGGATGATAGTTGTGATTTATTTTATTTTTTTAATTACAAAAATGAGTATATTGTCAATATGTGAATGAACAAAATTATGTCTCTTTCCATTTTGTAATTACTACCTCCGTCTCAGAGTATTTGTCCACTTTCATTTTTACACACCATCCAATACACTTCTTTAATCCATTTTATTTTGTAATTTGTATATTAAAAAATTATAGAAATTATATATTAATAATCTATATGTTAAGACAAATCAAACAAGATCACACATGACTATATTTAGGCTTACACATTGAGAGAATTTGATGAGTCAAAGTGCTTAGATGAACAGTTCCAAAAGTCAAAACTGGACGAATACTCCGGGACGGAGGGAGTATATAATTATATTTGTGTAGAAGAGCTTGTTTACTATTTTAGTACTCTAGCCGTCTTATCTAGGTATAGCTCCCTTTGAATAGTTATGTGAATGAATTGATTGTATGTTTGTATGGATTAAATAAGCAAAAGGTAGCAATGGGGTGGTCCTCCTATAATACAATGACCAAATCATAAGCCCATATAAGAATCAATTTATTCCTAATAGTTAAGCAAAAAATGGAACCAAAGTGTATACACACAAACACTTCGATAACCTAGATGGATAGTGATCAACTAGCATCCATGGGTATATGTCACCTTGAAAGCTCATTTCCTCACACTTCCTCACAATGAAAGGACATTGTTTGGACTTGGAAGAAACATCAAAAGAGAATACTAGCTAAGTTCATCTTCTCCCAATCTTCCACTTCTAAGTTCCAACTCTTACACATTTGTTTCTAAATGAAAGGGGACTACTAGCTAAGAGTATGGACAAAGCATCATTAGATTTCCCATCATCGATACGTTGCTTTATTTTCACATCAACCACTTAAAACAAAAAGGGGCCACACCACATTATGGTCAAGATGTCAAGTGCCTAATTGCTTAAGAACATTAGATGAGCCTACACAAACTTATACGTAGACTAGGAAAATAGCTCATTCATTGAAAGATTCCCAACCTCCACAGCAAGAAATGGGCACTTGTACTGTCAATTTCATTAAAACCTTGAAACAAAGGCCTATTCTCTACAGGTCTAGCATCAATTCATGGAGTAAAAACACTGAAACAATGTGGAATTGGGGCAGAATAATCTCAAATTGCAATAAACAAAGAAAAACTCCATAATGCAAAAAGAGATAGCGAAGTGACCTGCCTGCTTTCTGCATAATGAAGGATAGATATTCCCACGGCTTGATAGCTCTCCGTAGATCTTTGACCTAGCCACTTCATCGGCCACCCTCCTATTCAGCCATCGCATCAAGATGGCCAGCCCTAGTGCCTCCGCTCCGACCACCGTCAGTGCCCCCAGAAAGAACACTAACACCACCACCCACATCTTCGCGGCTTTCCCCGCCGCTACAGCCTCGGGATTTCTCCGTAAGTAACCATTCCCGGCTGTTCCAATTCCGAGTAAAAATATCGATCGGCGAATGAGATTTCAGGCCACCGTAATCGTATGATCAAGAGAGCGCGATTTCTTCGCGTTAGAAGGTAACTAACTGTGGCTCTATTCTGGTATTGAATTTTGAAATCAAATCAACATGCAGAACCAAGATGAGAATATGAACGCCCCCGTTTCTAAATGACATTGTTCCGCTCTCATTTTTACCCACCATCCAATACACTTCTTTAATCCATTTTATTTTATAATTTGTATATTAAAAAAATTATACAACTATATATTAATAATCTATATGTTAAGACAAATCAAACAAGATCACACATGACTATATTTGGGCTTACACATTGAGAGAATTTGATAAGTCAAAGTGCTTAGATGAACAGTTCCAAAAGTCAAAACTGAACGAATATTCCGGGACGGAGGAGTATATTTTTATATTTAAAAATATATTAACGCCCCCTGGTATTGAATATGAACGGCCCCATTTAAAATGATAAAAGCTCAAGTAGGATGGATGAATTGTAAGTGTTGCACCTATCTAAGAGGGGGTAGTTAGCAATGATGAATTTCATATTTGTCATCATTATTATCATATGATTCCAATTTTCTAGGATGGGATAGTTCAACAATTATGATGCATTTAATTTTTTTCTTCATATGATTCCAATTTTCAAGAGAAATGGTGCAACACTTTCTCCAAGTCTAGAGTGCTTACTAGTTAAAATGATAAAAGCCCAAATAGGATTGATGAACTGTAAGTGTTTGATACAGGGAAGGTAGAGGTTGGGGGAGAGAGGGGAATCGGCAGAGAGGGATCAGGGAGAGAAAAAGGAGGAGAATTAGGTTTAACTTCTTCTTATTATTATTATGATAGAGCACCTCTCCTTAAATAGAATTCGAGGAGCCCAAAAACCCTAGTATTCTACGTTATCTATCTTGACGGTTCAAGAAAAGCGACGAGGTAAAGAACCGTAAAGAAACCCTCGAAGGAGTGTTATAATTCCACTCACCTAGAAAGATCCTAAAAATACATTAAAAGTATGAGATAAAATATTAAATTAAATAAAGTCTTTATAACGGGCCGGCGGCTTAACCAGCCGTCCCGACCTTCTCAGATTGTCCACTTGTGCGTCCACGTTGGCCAGTCCGGCTCAACCCGTGCTACGGATTATTCTGCACCATGCATCGTATCATTTGCCCGCCCTTCAAAAACGTCCTTGTCCTCAAGGACGAGGTCGGTGTAGGCCTGCCGGATGGAGTTTACAGGTTCCCAAGTTGCGCTAGCTTCATCGGCATCCGACCATATCACCAACCACTGCTCGGTAGGCACACCCTGCTAGAGAACCGTCCGGGAAGCAATGGCCTGCTGGGGAACTGAAATGGGAGCGCCGTTGTGACACTCCTTTGGCAATGTAGCGATCGGTGGCAATTGTGACCCGGCCACAAAGGGTCGGAGCAAGGAAACGTGAAAAACGTTGTGGATTCGGGCGTCCGGAGGCAACTCTAGTTTGTATGCTACACTGCCCACACGCTCCAAAATGGTGAACGACCCATAATATCGGCGCGCCAACTTGGCGGATTGAGGCCGGGCAACCGGATACTCACGGTACGGCTGTAATTTAAGTAGAACCTGATCTCTGGGGTGAAATTCATCGTGGCGTTGATGAGTGTTAGCCTGGGCAGCCATGAGCTACTGCATGGCAGTGATGTTTTTCTTCAATTCCGCCAAGACGGCCGTCCGTTCAACTACTAGCTCATCAATACTCTGGATCTTGCTAGTGCCAACCGTATAGGGCAGTAGGAAAGGAGGTTCGTGGCCGTACAGTGCTTGAAAGGGGGACATACGGATGCCCTCGTGGTAAGAGGTATTCCGGGCGAGTTCGGACCATGCTAAAAATGATGCCCACCAGGACAGCCGTGAATGACAAAAAGCTCGTAAATATTATTCTAAGCTGCGATTGAGCACCTTGGTTTGCCCATCCGTTTGGGGGTGATAAGTCGTACTGCGATGTAAAGTCGTTCCACTCAATATAAAAAGTTCCCTCCAAAAGTTGCTCAAGAAGATGGGATCACGGTCAGAGACTATAGTGGACGGAAACCCATGATGCTTTATAACCGTATCGACAAAAAGTGCCGCCACCCTGGGAGCGTCGAATGACGTGGGTAACGGGGCAAAATGTGCATATTTACTAAGGCGGTCAACCACCACTATAATAGCCGTGAAACCCCGGGAGGGAGGTAAGCCCATAATAAAATCCATAGAGACGTCATCCCACACCCGAGAAGGAACGGGGAGCGGTTGCAAGAGGCTGTCGGACTTGTGCGTGTCATATTTGGTCGACAGGCAAACGAGACATGCATTTACGAACAACTGCACGTCGCGCCGCATACGAGGCCAATGAAAGACGGCAGCGACGCGATGAAAAGTGCGCTCCACCCCTAGATGCCCTACGCTTGGTGATGAATGAAATTCATCTAGGATGCGGTGTTTGAGTGTGGAAGTGGCACCCAAACAGATCCGGTGACGATAGTACAAGAGGCCGGCATGGACCGTGTAGGGCGCTGGGAGGGATCCTTCGGCAGCGGCGTTGTGCAACTCGATCAAGTCTGGGAGCTCAATATTCTCCCGTTTAATGTCCAGTAACACATCGGGCACGGGTTGGGCATACAACTGGAACAGTGCCCCGGCCGTACCCTCGACCTCATCGCGACGCGAAAGGGCGTCGGCCACACGGTTTGTCGCCCTGGATTTGTATTCGATCCGAAACTTGTACACCATTAGTTTGCGTAAATAATACTATTGATCGGGTGTCTGCACGACCTAGAAAAGCAACTCCTTCAAGCTCTGTTGATCCGTCCTAATAATGAATTCCCGACCGAGCACGTATTGCCGCCATTTATGAACTGACTCCACAATTGCATATAACTCCCGGTGGTAGGACGATGCTAGTCGACGACGTGGGCCTAGTTTCTTGCTAAAGAATGCAAGAGGGTGACCCTGTTGCATGAGGAACCCACCAATACCCTCATCAGACGCATCAGTTTCGACGACAAAAGTATCTGTGAAGTCCGGGAGCCATAGAATAGGCGGGGCTGTCATGATGGCTTTGAGACGGTCGAAAGCCGCGGCTGCCCTCGGGTTCCAGTGAAAGGCATTTTTCTTTAGCAACGCGGTGAGCGGGGCAGCTAGTGTGGCGTAAGCACGAATAAAACGGCGATAATAGCCCGTCAACCCCAAAAATCCCCGTAGTTGCCGTGGGGTTTTTGGTGTGGGCCAGACGGTAATTGCCTCTAATTTCCCAGGGTCGGCCCGTAGCTCACCCGCGGACACCAAATGTCCCAAATAATCCACGGTCTAGCAGCAAAAAAACACTTGGATAGCTTGACGAAAAAGTGGTGTCATGCTAAAGTACTCAGTGCCGTATTAAGGTGAGTCACATGTGCCTCCAGGGTTGGGCTATAAACCAAAATGTCGTCAAAAAAGACAATCACGAACTTGCGGAGGAAGGAGGCAAAAATATGATTCATGGCGGCTTGAAATGTGGATGGTGTGTTGGTCAAGCCGAACGGCATAACCAAAAACTCAAAGTGACCATCGTGGGTGCGAAAAGCTGTCTTAAAGATGTTTGCCGTATGCATGCGTATTTGATGATAGCCAGAACAGAGATCCAATTTTGTAAAGAAACGTGCCTGACCCAACTCATCAAACAATTCATCGGCCGTGGGAATGGGAAATTTATCTGCAACCGTCGCAGCATTCAAGGCCTGATAATCGATGCAAAATCGGAATGAACCATCATTCTTTTTGACTAAAAGGACCGGGGAGGAAAATGGGCTACGGCTGTGATGAATGATGCCCTGGCCCAACATTTCTTGCACTTGCTTCTCAATTTCGGCTTTTTGGAAATAGGGGTAGCGATACGGCCGTACATTGATGGGCTTTGTCTCGGGAAGTAAGTGTATCCGGTGGTCCCATGGGCGCGGTGGGGGACTGCCGACGGGCAAGGAAAACACGGCCTGATGTCGTTCCAATATTGCCTTTATAGCCGGAGGAAGGTTCCCAGGGAGTGCATCGACAAGGGGTCCCTGTCCGGCGTCCGCGCAGGCCAAAATCTACAGCTCGTACCCATCTGTCACTGTTTTCGAGGTAAATAGGGCATGTAACCCGTTGTAAGAGACTTGTTTGGTGCTCGGAACATCCCCTTGCAAAACAACTGGTTTGCCTTGAAAGAGAACTCCATAGTCAATGCCGCATAATCATGGGAAATCTTACCCAAGCTCTGGAGCCATTGGACGCCTAGAACGACGTCCGGTCCGTGAATATCCAACACAAAAAGATCAAGAACAAGAGGAAGACCCTGGATGGTTAAAGTCACTGCCGTGCAGGTGTGGGTGCATGGAAGAGAAGCGTCGTTGCCTACGTACACCCGAAACGGCGTTGTGGGTTGCATAGCCAACCGTAACTTTTCAACAATGGCCGGACGGATAAAGTTGTGAGTGCTTCCCCCGTCAATTAAAACCTGCACGTGTTGACCCGGAAGCGTACCTGTGACCTTCAACGCACGCGGACTAGGCGAGCCCGTCAAGCTATTGATGCTAGAAATATCCCCCGAAATCAAAGAGGGTTCGTCCTCTGGGATGTCATCTGTGAATGGCTCGAGCTCGTGTTCCTCCACCCCACCGATGAGCGCCATAAAACGGTTCGGGCATTTGTGGCTCAGAACATATTTTTCATCACAAGTCCAGCACAACCCCTTAGCCGTGCGTTCCTCCCAGTCTGCATGGGTGAAGCTCCGGATTGGTAGGGTGGTGGATGCCCCAGGTGGACGTGCCCCTGGTGTGGGAGACATGGACTGCCCCAGATTGCCTTAGGTGCGGAGAGGAGTGGCTGAAGTGGACGAAGCGGTGGGTGTTGGCCATGGGCGACGTCCGGTGACGGCATCAGAATGATTGGCTGCCAACTCACGGGCGAGGGCGAAAGCCTGGCCCAAAGTGTAAGGCCGTCGTAGAAGCACCTCACGCCGTACCGGAGCTTTCAGTCTAGCGATAAAAACAGAGATCAAGGCAGCCGGAACCCCTATCACCTTATTCAAAAGTCATTCAAACTC